ATGAGCAAAGGTAGAGGCTGCTTTAACAGTGTCATCATTGCATACATGCATTCATGCATGCACCTAAATAATGTTGCATAATATATATATATATAACGATCTATCTGCATAGGATGTAGAGTATGTCTCCCAGTTTGCTGTATAGCAAATGAAGTTTATTTCACATTGTGACTGTTGGGCAGGATGCATTTGCGATGGAAAAACAGATTTTCAGTTACCACAGCAATACCTAACAAACATCTCACTAAGATGTAACATTCTAGGCAGAAATCCCAGAACTGATGCAACATTAGCACAACGTGATGCTTGTAATGATGTGGCAGCCCAAGAAAACAAAAGCCTGATATCCTGACTGTATTTTTTTTTTCTTATCTTTTCAGGGAGTTTGCTTGATTTCCTGAAGGACGGCGAAGGTCGAGGCCTCAAACTGCCAAATCTAGTGGACATGGCGGCTCAGGTGTGAAAATCTTGATGCTCAGAAAACATGTTCCCAGGGAAAGATGTTTCCTTTATGAGCTTAACTGACTCTAATCATCTCCAACTGTTTCCAGTTTAGTCATTTAATCTCAGCACTGCTCATTTAAAGTCTTTTGTTTTGGTGATTTCCCAATTTTTCACACACTTTGCACAAATTCCACGTGATTCATGTTTTTTACTGAGAAAGTAAATGTATATAAAGCAAATCTGTGGGCTTTCAGTTTAGAGAGATGCTTCACTTTTGCTGTCCCGCTTTTTTAGGGTGATAACATTTGTGTAAATCTTGCTTAGCACAGATTTGATGACCTTGAAGCTATACATTGAGATGATGTTCAGTAGGGAAAAAAAACCCTCAATTTCCCAGGTGGCGGCGGGCATGGCTTATATCGAGAGGATGAACTACATCCACAGAGACCTAAGATCTGCCAACATCCTAGTCGGAGACAGCCTGGTGTGCAAGATTGCTGACTTTGGTCTGGCTAGACTCATCGAGGACAACGAATACACAGCAAGACAAGGTAGGCTTCACTCCAACACATTTTCATGAATCCATTGCTAATGCCTTCCTGCTTGTTTAAACCACAAATGAATTAAAATGACGTTGCAACAACACACAGTACAGAAACTGCAACATAGGTTCCAAACTGAAAAAACTTCCTGTCCCTGTAAATGTAGAATTTATTGTATTTGTGCCTACTTTCAAAGATGAGCAGCAGCTTTTGTGTCAGAATTGAGTAATAATTCAGTCACGTTTGAAAATGCTGACATAGTACACACACCTGTGATCTATGTGCTGATGAACTAAGATGAGATCTATGGATCACCTGGTGTGAGTACACACTTAAACTTTCTTTGTGTTTATGTTGCTTAGACATTGTAATAAAGACAATATATGACTACAGACCGTGCTTGAGAAATGTCTGTTCAGTAGCAAAGTTGTCCAGTGGTGGTTTTCTACTAGATTTCTTATGTTTCAGTGAGTCAGGTCAATTATTGACTACTACTGGGAAAAAGATTAGAAGCTTGCACATGTTTTGTCTAACTCTGTTTCTGTAGGATTCATTAAGTTCCCTGTAAACTGCCATCAGAGGAAAAATGTTGGTGGCTTGGCAAAAGGGCTTATTCCATCCAGTTTCACACACGAACACACACACATTTGTGTTTCTGTAACTTCAGAGGACATTGCTTTAACCAAAATGAATTTCATGGATACAAAACTTAAACTTTCCTGATGTTGACCCCTGACCTCTTCACCTTAAAATGCTGTTACTGACAGACTCATGTCACAACATGAGCACTTAGAGCATGCTGCTTTTCTTTTTGAGCAAGAATTTGTCTTGATGGAACCACTGGAAAGCGGATGCGCGTGTGGTTAGCGCAAAGACAACCAAAGATGTGTTTATACAGGGGTACGGTGCCGGACTTGAGACCTCTTAAAAGGGCACTTGTTTTACACGAAAATATGCCGCTGCGATTATTGTTTGAAGGATGACGAGGAAGCAGCCAAAACCTGATTCACTCCAGTGTTGTTTCCCCCCTGAGTCAGACGTGAACCACACCAGGAGGACTTCAAGCTCTGTTAGTCACTCTGTCAACATGTTCAGTCACTCATTTGGTAGAAATGAAATGTTTACTTGCTCGACTCGGGCCAAGTGCAAACTGACACGGAGATGGATAATGGAATGGTTCCGTTATTTCCCTGGTGGGATGTAATGATGTCCTTATGTGCCTGCACTAATCAAATCAGTGAAGGGAAAAAAATCAGTACAGTGAAGACTGACCTACTTTAGTCTAGGTTTTGGTGGAAGCCGCTGCTGTGTATCTTTGTGTATATCTGGAGGGATGCAGAAGCAAAATAATAAAAGTTTGAGACTGTTTGTGAAATTAATATCACCTGAATTTATTTTAGGTGCGAAGTTTCCCATAAAGTGGACCGCTCCTGAGGCTGCCCTCTACGGGAAATTCACCATCAAGTCCGACGTGTGGTCATTTGGTATCCTGCTGACAGAGCTGGTGACCAAGGGCAGAGTGCCCTATCCAGGTGAGAGTGCTGAGCTTGAGGGTTATGTAATCACCTCTCAAAACCAATCAAACTGCTGCATTCAGTTAATGCAGGCTGTGACACGAGACTTTGCATGATTTAAAAGGAAAAAAAAGCAGTAGTTAGTTGCATAATGCATTATACATAGAAATGTTCCAAGCTAATGAATGTGAATTGTTCCAGTTTCACTGACATTATAATTCCATTTTAACCTTTATATAAGCTGTCTAGTGTCTATGCGATGATTGCTGCGATGTTTTCAGTTTCCAGTGTAAGGCTTAAGGCGACACCACTTCTATGCAAAGCACTATTTCTTCAGTTCAGATCAAAACGGAAGGCTCTTTCCCGCCTTGACTGTTCACATTTTTATGCTAATCGACTATTACCCCCATCTTAATGTCACATTGCAACCAATAGTAGGTGCAGGAAGTCATCTACTAATCTGTTCCACGATACTGAAACTCAAAAGCAAAGTCTAGAGTAATGCAACTTATGGAAACGGCACAGAAAGACTGCTTACAAACTTGGTGATTTGATGGCAGCACAGCCCTAAACTCACTCTATGTGCACCTTTGTTCAGGCATGAACAACCGTGAGGTGCTGGAGCAAGTGGAGCGAGGCTACCGGATGCCGTGCCCCCAGGACTGCCCCTCGTCCCTGCATGAGCTAATGCTACAGTGCTGGAAGAAAGACCCAGAGGAGAGGCCCACCTTTGAGTACTTGCAAGCCTTTTTGGAGGACTACTTCACTGCCACTGAGCCTCAGTATCAGCCAGGGGATAACCTCTGAGCGCCGCGGCCCTCGTCTCATGTCGTTTCACCAAAATTCCACCAGAGGGAGCCAGACACCACGCGTTCTTTCTCATTCTGCGGCTCTAATGGTTTTAAAAGCTGGCAGACTCGCTTTCCAACCTTCAGACGTCATACAAACAGGACAGAGGGGTGCAAACACAGCAAAGTGACTATCAGAATTAAAAGTGACTGTCATGGATGAACGACATGAGTTCTGTTGCGTAACGTGTATGTAATGTAAATACAAATTGCTTGTTTACTTATTATCTTTTTTCTGTTTTGTATTCCTTTTGATAATTTGGAAATGTGTGATATTTTTTTTTTCTTCTTCTTTTTTTCCATTTTTAAATGTAAGGTTACATTTGTTATGGCTCAGAGAAGTGTGTGAGGCTCACAAGCTGGTTACAGATGTAGGAATAATAATTGTTGGGAATAGTTAGACACTGTGGACCAAAGTGTATCTGAAAATTAGTTTTTTCCTTTTTCTGGGAGTCCACTGACTTTTTCCTTTTTCTTTTTTCTTTTTTTATAAGGTTAATGTAACAATACTTTTCTCCTCTTCTCAAGGACTTTAGATGTACTATAACACCTGTTCTTGCCTTTTCTTGTTTAGTAATATTCTTATAATGTAAGGGAATGCCTTCATGCTTTACACACACTAACTCAGTGCATCATGGGCTCTTCCTCCCAAACTGTATGCCATCTGCACTAATATTGTGCATTCATTGCATTCCAGCTTCTGCCAGTGATCTTTTTTTTAGGACTGGCTTAAAGTGACTTTTAAGTTGAGCTTTACGTAATTCAAATGAGGACTGAACTCCTCTCTAACTGCAATCTTCGTTCAGCTGACTGCTTAGTATACTGACAGTATTTTTAAATGTATGTTGCAGATGGCAGCAGGCTGTGTAAGACTTCCACACTGTCTTTATGCTTCAACAGCCAAACAAACTGCCACTTACATGATATGAATGAAGGATGTGTACCTGTGTTTGTCCCTCCATAATGTGTATTTGAATATAACAGTTTGTGAGACCAAATACCTTTTAATTTCATTTTAAGAACATTTCAGCCAGTTAAGAGACGCAAATAATTGATTATTTCCAGGCATTAGGCTTTGGATAGCATTTCATCTTCCTTTACTATCAATCTCCTCTCACTCTTGGTGTGTAATCACATGACAATGTGCCATTTATGTGTATTTATGTTGCTCTCCACGGGTGTAAAAGTCAGCAGAAACTTTTGTATCGCTCCGTTTGCCCTGAGTTTAGTAGGTATTCAAAACTTTTGGTCTCTATTTATTGTCTCTGTCTGTTCTGCGTGCACAGCTGTTTTTGAAATAAAGAATCCTGCCATTACGACGCACTATTTAACACTGTTTGTGAAGCTCGTCTGACTGCTCCCATTCTCAAGAAATTTCAGGTTCTCAGCAACAGGCATGGTGAATAAGCAGACATGACTATTGAAAATGACAGAGTACAAATGAGCCTGTGGTTTTGTTTGTTTTTTCCCTCAGGGTGAATTTCACGCAGATGACAAGGCTGAATATGCAAATCATCGGATACATGTATGCCCTGAAGTCAAATATCAATCAGATGCATAACCTAAGCCTGTTTTATCCCACGCTTTTTTTCTTTTTTTTCTTTTTTCTTTTTTTTTTAAAGTTCTAATATGGACTGCTTATAAAAAACAGTTTCACAATTTTAAAAAAAGAGTTTAAAAACAACTAAATTCCTTACTCATGCAGGCTTTCCTGTCCAATCTGGCACAGGCATACAAACTGCATTCTTGGCTCTGATTGGACGTGCAAAGGCGTGAGATATTTGCATATAGTAGGTTCCAGTGCAAGTCTGTGCATCCACAGGAGTCCTGAAACCAGACTTTTAACAGCAGGGTGATGCCTCTCTCTGGTACTTAACCATAGACATGTTTATGAGCATGAACTTTCGTGTTGTTGTTTTTAATACCTGCAAGTAAATTAAGCTCGATCTTTTGATTTTAACACAAGGAAATGTTTGTTTTACACATCATCTAATTTGATGTGGTACAGGATGTGTCTCAAGCTGAGATAAAATGGAGAAATCTGGAAAGGAGCCAAAGCTAGAAAACAGCTTTCAACTTATGAACGCTGGAGTAAGAGAAAATGAAATGGATCGACCGAGATGCTGCATGAATGCAGCTTATTTCTACCGAAGCCCAAACAGATGCAGAGAAATGAATCAAGAGTTTTGCGAGCAGAAACTTCATTTTATGCAGCATGTGGAGATGATCCAACCCAGAGTACCAGAAGATGGAAGAGAAACATCTTCCAGGATGAATCTACATCATCAGTCTTCTGATGACTGCTTTTCTCAAGGAGCGATGCCGAATGGCACAAAGAGAGAGTGCGGCTGCTGGGAATGTGGAGCAAAGCGTTGTGGAACAACTGAGCCTGCAAATGGAAACACAGCGAGGTAACCATGTTACACTTTTAGGGAGTAAAATACCAGCACACATTTGATTAGTTAAAGCATTCATTTTCAGAGGGGAGGATGAAGGCGACGCTCAACCTCAGAGTGATTTAGAAGAGGAACTCGAGGCTCCTTTGCCGCTGAAAGATGACAACGAGTGGCAACACTGTACTCCCTTTTTACTTCCCCACCACGACGTGCATAGCCGCGGTAAGGAAAGCAGTTCTGTGATCTGTTGTGATTCTTTTATTTGTGTAATTAGATAAAAGAAACCTTGAAAGAGGCTGTGAATACTCTGTATGTTTGTAATACATATAGCTATGACACACCTGTAGGGTAACACTTCATAATGTGGCCTGCGACTAAGAGCACTGTTCCCCTGTAATGAAATGGAGTTTTAACGTATTTAATTTGAAATTACCAACATATACTTAAAGGTAAGTACACTAGAATAAGGGGCTAGCAAGTATGCTGTACTTCGGGGCATGTGGCTGTATTATGGAATGACTTAACCTTGCCTAACTTCTGAGTACTTTACAGGAAAGGTGTCAAACTTTATGCAGTAAGTAATTTTAAGTACAATGCAGGTAAAGTAAAGCAATTGAAAAATAGAAAAAACAGAAAAATGTAAAAGAAGTTTTAAATATTAGGACGAAACCTGTTGTGAATTTAAGGGTTGTGATTAGTATTTACTGTTTGAGGTAAAAAAAAAAAAAAAGATGCTTATTTACTCTTGATTTTGAAAAAAACTGCTTTTACTGAAACACTTTCAACAGACACTCCCATAGAAATGTTTAAACTGTACACAATGACCTTCGTCATATTATGAACTTAATACTCTGCAGGAGAATGGCTGTGTAATCTCAACCGATACCATCCTCAGTCACGTCACCTCTCTGCTCCTTTCCAGCACTGGACACCTCGGAATCAACCCCAAAATGGGTAAACACAGCTGACGATGTATTCAGAAAACAACATTTTTTACATGTATGGTATATTGATAAAGGTTGGCAAGATTATGTGAAAGATGTTGGTCTTCGTATATTTTTCTTTCTTGCTGCTTCAGGCTCCAGTTTCATGACCACTTTAAGAATAACATCATGGGAAGTGTCTCAGTTAACGTCCCTCACTTCTCACTTCCCACTGTGGAGGATGTTTCACGGGTCAGCATGCTGAATGTGGGCTCAGCAGGAGCAGAGGAGTCCGCTTCACATCCACACGGGAAAAGGAAGGGCATCCATTTGCCCGATGAGTGCCGTGAGTCACTTTTTTTGGCACTTTATTGTCTCTGTAACAAGGAATGCACATTTAAGTGTTAACGGAACAGATTAATTAGTATCTTAGAGACATTTCGTCGCTAGCGCAGAAACTATCTACATAGCAGGTAAACTGAAGTAATATATATTTGTATTGTCTTTATAGATTCACATTTAAAATAAAAAGCAAGCTCAAAATATTGTAAGAAAGCTAGCTTTAGGCTATATTTTTGATTAATTTTTCAAATTTATAATATAGGAATGAGTTACTTAGAATAATGATGAAGATATTTTTGCTGACCACATTTTTTATATACATTTTTTTTTTCGTTTATTTTTAGAAATCGGTGACCCAAACCCAGTGGTAGCTTAATTATTTTCTCAAAATGTAATTTGATACCAAAGGCAGTCAGGATCAAGGTACTTCACCTATCTGATCATTTTTATTTGCTGCTGTTTCTTCTTTTTTGAAACGTTTTAAGTCACAGTTTGGCTTTGAACACTTGCACTAAATGAAGCATCAACAGCCAAACCAGTATGTAACGGTATAGCAGAAAATACAAGTACGCTTATATTAAGCTGACACTGAACATAAAGCTTTAAGATTCTGATTGTTTGGGTTTTATTATCTTGCCTCTTCTCAGGAAACGTTTTCATCACTTACTCTTCGGACGTGTCCTCAGAGATGGTCCCCTTTGTGGATTTCCTCACAAAGCAAGGTTTTCGACCGGCTGTAAGCTTCCACCCTGTGTACACTATCATTCTGTAATATCATTAAACACTTTGCTCACAGCACTAACCTAAATTTCACAGATTGACTTATATGACAGCTCCATTAGATGTATGGACGTCAACAAGTGGACAGACAGTTACCTTAAAGATGTAAGTAATTATGAGAACTGTGTGCGAAGTTATATTGTTACCATAAATTGCTGCAAGTATCTCTACAAGTCTACTTTTTTATTACTCCTTACTAGGCTACACTATTATTTGCACAGGTCTTGTAACATATGTTTTTCTATCTTATTTTTAAACTATGATTCTAGCTTGATAGTCAGTCTGCTTTCTGTTAGTGTTTATGTAGTTATGTGGTTGTGTGAGCTCCGGAGAATCTCAGATTCCCCGTGGGATTAATAAAGTAGCCATCATCAAGATCAGCAAGTGTGTTACCCTCTATGATAGATAAAATAATATTTCATATTCCATGTTTTTGCTGTATCTGTGTTTATTTCAAGTTACTTTTGTATGAACACTGTCTTTTTATTCAATGTCTCAAATTTCTGTCTGTTTTTTTTAACAGCCATTAACCCTTATTATTATCGCCATCAGTCCAAAGTACAAGGAGGATATTGAAGGACCTGCAGTTGACAGCCATGGTCTACACACCAGATATATCCACTCAATAGTGAGGATAAATCAGCAATGGAGGAAATACTCAAATACTGTATTTTAGCAGAGGAGTTAATTCTACACTGAATTAGAAAATGCTATTAACAGGATGAACCAGCGTTATGTCTACACACGACAGAGAGCTTAGCAAAGAAACAATTTAAAATTGTATCTTTAGACACTTTGTTACAAACACTATGTCAAAACATAAGGACTAGGCTTAAAAACAGATCTATAGCACATGAGCAGTATTTGCTCTTACTCAAGGATTTATAATCCTTATATACATTTTAAAAAAAAAACGTTTTCACGTTTCAATGAATTGCTGCAGCAATTTCCAGTCGTCGTAGCAAAATATAAATAAATGGAGCTGACTCCAGACTTTTTCCACAGTATTGTTATTTAGAAGTGTTCAGTATGTAAAAAACATTTATTAATTTTTTTCTTAACAGTAAGTTTTATGATTAAGTTCTTCATTCCTTTAATGTTTATTAATGTTTATGAACACAAAAAAATAATGTCATATTTCTTTACATAAATAATATGCAATAATGCTGACAGGTAAACTTAGAGTATTTTATTGTATATTTAATTTTGCCAGATGCAGAATGAGTTCATCCAGCAGGGGAGCTTGAATTTTAGATTCATCCCGGTTCTCTTCCTTTGTGCATCCCAGGTCAGAAAACATTTCCCATATTTATCCCTTTGCATTTATCTTATCTTTATTATATATATTTTTTTTAAAAAACTGTGGAAACTCTTGACAGAAACATGTCCCAAGCTGGCTCCAGAATACTCGCGTGTACCGCTGGCCGCAGGACACTGAGGATTTGTTACTGCGACTGCTGAGGGAGGAGAGATACGTGGCTCCTCCTGTACCTGTGGAGCTCAGCTTATTCATCAGGCCTGTTACCATGAGCGACGCAGCTACACTGTAAACAAACAAACTGGTGTTCGGGCATGTGTCTGGGTTTAATGTTTCTGCTTTAAAAGCTACATTTTGCAGTAAGTTTATTTTACAAATCCACAGTTTGATCCAGTTTAAGTTGAGATATAAGCTCATGTTCCAAGTTCTATTTTATGTTAAGTGCTGTTTTTCAGATGACTCAATAAAGTTTTTTCCATGTATTTAGACACATTTCTCTGGTACATTTACTATGTAAACATACGCAGAATATATTATATAATAACTCTGAATGGCATTCCTACCAATGGTGTGGCTTATTAGCACAGGTGTCACCTTTTGGAGGTATTGGCCTGTGGGAGACTTTCTTGGAACCACCCACATACTTGTAAATGTCCAGATTACCTTCTCTCTCTTTGCAGCATCCCCCCCTCCCCCTCCTTCTCATTATTCACTCCACAGCAGTGTTTGCTAATCACAGTGTTGTACACAGCGCTTTTGTTGCTATTATTTTTAATATTTTCATGGTTGTTTATCATGAAAGCAATGTTCTTAGTTTAGCATCAGGATTAAGAGGGTGGCCTTTTTGTTGTTGTTGTGGTTTGGATTGGATTGCTCTTTTTACTGTGTGAAACTATCTAACTTTAATGAAATTATATTAAGACTGGCCAAACCGACCAATCTAAAATATATTTGAATAAAACAGAACAGACTTTATCCAGAACTTTGGGGTGCAAATCAGTCACCCTCCATCACTTTAGCTGCTACTCAGGTTTTTCAGATGTCCAATGTCAGTGGAATTTTCATTGTGGTGGTTTTTTCTCAGATGGAAAACATACTTAAAGTCATATCAATCATTTTGTCAGTATACAAAATGTCAATGCTAGCAGAGACCACTGAATTTAAGTAACTACCGATGATTAATTTATTATGTTCATGTGAAAAAAAAACAATACTGGAAATAGGGATTTTAAATAAGAAATGAACTTTAAGCTCTGTTGCCTTGGAGACACAAACCGTGGATCCCGCGTTGCAGGTATTAATATAAAAACCTGAACAACTGGAAGAAGCAGTTATGGAAAAGATTTGGGCCACCAGGGGGAAAAAAAACAATTCTGACTTCTTTTTTTTTCGATGGCCCTAATCCCTTTCCATAAGCAGTTACAGTTTTGGCTCCTGTTAACTTTTGTCAAACCAGGATCAGGCTACATTTATCCATCCATGATTCCTATTAATGACCTCTTGCAGAAAAACATGCACTTATGGACCTTTTTATGGACCTTTTTTATCGACTAGTACTGGTTCTGAAATTACTCAAAAGAAGCTGTTTTAACCTAACTTGGAGGTGGTGGGGGGGGGGGGGGATTTGAAGGTAGTTTTCATCTGAATTGCCATTAATCGTGGGCCTGTGATTTGTTTTTAGTGGACAGAGTGCTGCAGCAGCCAGTAGGGGTGCTCAATTCAGCCAGCTGATCTTGCACACCCTTGAACGTCCAAAAAAGGTCTGCCAGAGCGGCTGGTGAGCAGAGCTCCAGCTAAGAATAACCTGTATTTTCTGGGCGGATAGAGTTACCTTGCAGCCTTCCTGCTCTCTGCACTGGCCTATACCCATGTGAGCCCCCAGAAACACTGGGTGAGATATTGTGCATTTCCCCTCACCCTGCCCAGCCCTGTGCTTAGCTTGGCTGATTCTTCCCCTGTGTCGCTTTACTTTGCCCCACTGTCCCCAGACCCCCTTTTTTAATGCTGCCTCACAGGCAGCTCCAAATTCCCCAACATATGTAGGCTTTCAATTAATGCTTAATTTTCCATTTTCTACTTTTTAAACCCTTGGACAAGTTCCACCTGTGGATGTTATGGGTAAGAAGACAAGGCTGTGACGGTCCAAGTGACAATGGAATAATTTACTACCTGGGACGCTTTTTTTTTTTTCCTGAGAAAGTGGATTCAAACTGGATTTACTGGAGCCGTCACCAGTTAATTCTTCATGAGGAGGCTTTGTCTCCAATTTAAAGTATCCTACCTGAGATAGTCTACACGTCACAATGGCTGAAGGTAGGGTTGTTACACCTGGGTCTTCAAGCACAACTGTTCAAATAAAACCTTTACTACAGCACAAAAACCCACAGTAATAAATTCTGCATAACAAATAAACGGCAGTGTTTTGATAAGTTGTGTCCTCTGACGATGATGTGTCGAAAGTTGGTTGCTATAAATACAAGCTATCAAGTCACCAGAGTATTCGCATTGCTCTCCTGTGACAGACTGCAGCTGCAGCTGACCTCAGCCAGGGTGGTAGACCTCAAGCACGTCAAAAGGAATATACATAAATAAATAAAAGTGTGAAAAAACACCTGCAAGTCCTGCATTCACAGTACTGTGTAAATGTAAGACACTCTTAGATCATGCTTAAATGTGCAAAAGTGGTGTTAGTGGAGGGAAAAAAATCGTCTTCGTCTGATATATTAATGCAGAAGACTGCTGCTACTGATCCACCAGTGTCTATAAAGAGCATTTCCTTGTGACACTGTAGACCTGCTTTTCACTTATATATGTACAGTTTCTTATTGCAGTCAGCAAGTTTAGACAAGTGTTCCCTATTCTGTATGCCTTTGTGCTACTCTTTGAATCGTTAGCGGTTATTTTAAAGGCATCAAAAGCACTGTAGAAAGCTGATAACAATAAATAACCTGTAAAGCTTTATAATGCGTTCCAGCACATAGTCTTTTCTTATGAAGTGTATAGTGCATATTGGCTACTCTGTAAACAAAGCCAATGCTCATAATTACTTAATGTTATTACTTCAGTTATCACCAGTTTTAAAAAGCACGTTTTAAGATCGAATGTTTTTGGGTTTGGGGTTTTTTAACAGCGAGTGAACTTGTTGTGTTTTCACAAAAAATGTAATAACACGCTGGTTACTTGGAAAAATTGCACAGCTCTAAACAATGCTGTTGATTGAAGAGTTGAGTTTGAGTTTGAGAGGTTTTTTTCCCCGTGTCCTACACGCTTGGAAGCAAGTCGTCATGCATCGAACATTTTCAGAGTTCATTCAACTTGGACCTTGTGTGAAGGTCTCCCTGACGCCTGACATTACAGTAAATCAGTACAGATAATCTTACACTCTGTGCACAGCATTTAATGATGATAACACTGTTACTAAATGCTGCCTTGGGCATTTTTCACTGTGCTAAGCCAGTCTAAAGTGTGTCAGTACATTTGGAAAATGTCACTGCTAAAATTGGAGTGCCCTATCACACCATGACTTTTCTGATGACGTTTAACATTTCCGATTAATATAAATAATAAGGAAATAAAGAGACAGTATAGGGTCATGGTAAAGATGAAAAATTATATATATACAACTAATAATGCACTATCTGTGCACAAAATGTCTTCCTGTCAGGGTTTGTCTTCATTGTGTAGATGATAAGACTTGAAAGGTTTAAGAAAATGGGCTTTTATTTAGACACCAGGGCAAAATCATTGTTACGATAGTGAAATTACTGAAAGAGGGCGATAATATGACCGAAAAAGACTTACACAACAATTGACAGATCTGATAAAACATACATAGTTTGCACACTTTGTAACAGAGGAACAAAACACGGAGAAACACTTTCACTGTTGTTAGAAGGAGACATACAGAGATTTCACAGCTAAAAGTGTAATGTCAGCTCCCTCTGGTGGACAAACTATGCAAGTGTGCAAGTTCTTGCTACCAATCACTCATTATAGACAACAATAAATATGTGTACAAGCAGACATTTAATTGTTTTATCAGTTCTGATCCATATAGGTTTTGCACATGATCTGCAGTGGATATTTATAAAGAACCGAAACCCTTGTGGTTACTTTAGCAGTGCAAGAATATCAAACATTACAAGCACAAGAACAAAAGCAAAAAGAATTTGTCAGACTAACTTTTGTCTATTTATGTCTTCCACATATAGTAGCCAAATCAGCCTCCCACGCTGCAGCCACTGGGTCCAGTGACGGAGCAGCAGCGCCACAGACGAGCTCTCTCAGATCCAAAGGTCTGGGGCTGCTCAACAAGGTGAAAATGTCTGTTGAGCTGCTGATTGCCCTTGCTGCTCTCCTGTCCTGGCTGGTTGTAGGTGTGGTGATGTTTGACTTTGTTGAGTACAAAGCAGTCCCCGGTAAGCCACAAAATCTAAAAGTGTATGTCCCCAAGTCTTTTAAGCCATTAGTTATGCAGAATCTGACCAACATGTTTGCTATCATCGTTAGACATCCAGCAGATCATAACGGACCCTGTCCAGGCCGTGAACGACGCCACTGATGAGTTATCCAGTCTGCTCAATAAGTTTCAAGGTAGTGGGGAATTTATCTTGGCACAGTTTTTATTTGTGTAAGCTCTCTAATGCATGACTTGCTGTACTTTTGCAGAATGCGCACCGGATTTAAGTGACCCCATGTCAGCTGCCAGATACGCAGCCGAGGAAATATCAGAAGCAAAAGATGGGTTTGTTCGATATTTGTCAGATGAAGAAGGTATGACCGCTCACTCCTACCAACACAAGCAAAAAAACAAAAACAAAGACTGCTTATTAAGTACAGAATAATCTTCTGAAACCACAGGGAACTTCTACCTCAGCTACATTGACCCTGTGGTCATTGGTAGACAAGCTTTCCATTCAACGAATGACTTCATAGGTGGAGCACTGGGTTCCTTCAGGGACATACTGTGTGCTGTTGTGGATACATCACTGGAAACCATAGAAGATATTAAAAAAGGTATGTAATTTATACTTGAATCCTTTTTCTACTCAAGACTGTTTTTCTCTTGTTTCACATTCAGTTAATGAATGAATAAATCTGTCTTTTTTTTAAATACTTGAACTAAACTTTAACTCCCTTGCTGGTTTGTAACATTATTAATTAATGCAGAATGTACTTACAAATGCACTTATTTTTCTATTTCTTTTCCATTCAGGAAAAACTGATCTTGGCTATATTGACCCTGTAATGATAGGCAGAGGTGTCTTTAATGCTACTAATGAGTTCATGTGTGGAGTGGCGAGCTACATCCAGGATGTGCTCTGTTCCATACTGGACACTACACTGAATGTAGTGAAAGGTATTTGCGCTCTCTCGTTTAACCCATAACCTCTTAAAAACGACATAAAAGAATATCTATCTAACACAATTTAGAGAGTTTGCTTTGCATACTTTAGGTTCGTATTCATTTCCTGTTTGTGTTTCTCAGGAACCGTCGACATTAGCTTCATGGACCCTGTGGTAATAGGAAGAAATATATTCCACGTCACAAATGACACAGTGAGTGGAATATTTGGCTACATCCAGGACGTGCTCTGTGCCATCGTAGACATGATACTGGATGTATTCAAAGGTATTCAGTGCCTCCATATTGTCTCATTTGTGATGTTTGTGGCTTAATATTTACAGTACATCTTATATTCTGTATATACTGCTTATGCATTTTACAGACTTTATTAGGAATGTATTTTTAGATCAACAGTAACTCTTTTTAGCTTGTTATGGATGTTGTCCACTAAACAAAAACTTATATAACTTATATAACTTATCTAACTTTGACAATGCATGCCTTTATAAGGAAAATGTTGGCCTTAAACACATTTTTCTAATGTCTGTGTAACTGTCAAGTACACGTATGTTTAATGAAGTACTTTACTGCACCTTTGACCTGAGTGTGTGTTGTCCTCAGGAACCACTGACATTAGCTTCATTGACCCCGTGGTTATTGGCAGAAATGCCTTCAGTGTTACTAATGACTTTGTGAGTGGACTATTTGGCTACATCCAGGGCGTGCTCTGCGCAGTCTTGGATGTCATACTGGACACGCTAAAAGGTACACAGTCTGCCAAGACATCACCTGATACAATGCACACACTGCAGGTTTCCCAGACTTCACGAGGGATTGTTTTATTTTCTCTGTTGGTTAGATATCCAGCATACCTTGGGATTTAGCCCCATGTCAGTTTTTAAGTCAGCAGCAGAAATCACCAAAGAGCAGACAAACCTGCTTGCGAGCTACATCTCCTCAACACTGATTGGTGAACAAGGTCTGTTTTAGCCTACGTCATTATCAGAAAATTGGTTACATCTTATCCTTACGGCAGCTAAGCTGATTTTCTAAATAAAGACAAAGCAGCTTTTATTCACTGTCTGGTGTTTTTCATTTTCAGGAATCATGCCTGAAGTGTCCATTGACCCAATGAAAGTTGTTGAAGATGCTGTGTCAGAGCTCACAGACAAGAAGGATTTGCTCTTAGCTTACATGTCAAGCATGATTGTTGGTGATCAGGGTATGGCTATTAGTATTAGATGTTCAGTACTATTAATTAGGAAATATTAAAAATCCATCTGCTAAATATTTTCTATGTTTCAGGGGAACCTGTCACCACCCCAGGTGTAAATGTAGTAACAGAAAAAGGTTTCTGCTTTAATCCACTCAGAAATATTCTGATAAACATTTATGATTGGCAGGTTTTCACAAAATGTCTTTGTTTCTTTTAGATGAAGCTGTACCTTCCCCATCTGATATCAATTTAGTAAGAAGGAAAGGTAATGACAGTATTTCTTCTGTTTTCCATTGCAGTAATACAGAAAAGGAAATATTACATTAAAAAAAGAAGCTAAGTGTCTTTTTCCATGTGTTAATACAGGGAAATTTCTGCCTCCATTTGAAAAAGGTAAGAAAATATCTTCATTAAAGACATTTAAAATGTGCTTTTAAACATGCGCAATGTGTGTTGCAAGCAACTAGACTGCATAGATTTTTTGATTTTTGTTTGTTTCTTGCATGTTTGTACAGACTTGTGTTTTTCAAGGGACATTATTCAATCTGTTTTCAAGTCTGCCTCATGGTATGCCTCACTGTTCAGTGTAACCCTGAAGATCTATGAAACTGCGTGCCACTGTGTTTGAAAAATACTCGATTTGTACTCATTACATTATAGCATGGACAAACATGCATCATATCTGTTCTTCATTCTATTATTCTAATTGTCATTAAGCTGCTACATTGTTATGGATTGGTTTACTTCATTCCTCCCTTTCTTTGTCACACTGACCATTTGTTGTAATATTTTACAGAACTTCGCAGTGATATGTCTTGACTCAGTCATCATGTTTTTCTGTGTAACATTGTGCATGACCATGTGTGTCCTTCAGACTTGCATTCCTTTGTTGCTCTTTCTCGCATTTTTTGTGCCACTGACTGGTTGCCTCCTGTTTTTGACCATTTACACTGTTGTCATATGTATATCCTTGGATCGTCCGGACTGGATTACATGTGTTTTTGTATACTTTTTACCTGTGCATGTAACTATTAAACACACCACATGTTGCAAAGATAGCATTCACAATACTTTTACACTGTATTTACCATTGTAGCCAGTTTTGATACATCATGTTCCTTTGGTCCTGTGGTTTTATATAAACTATTTGATCCAGCCAGCTCCTTCATTAAGATCATCACGGCACTGTAGCCTAATTTGATCAAGTACTCTGCTGTAATGAGTGGCTAAACATATAGCTCAGCTGCAGTTTGTACCAGCTACTTCAGGAAGTTACAAGGCATTTAAAAAACACTTTAAAAGAAGCTAAATAGAAAAGAAACGAGATATAAAATAATTCCTGCTTCAATTTATGAAGCAATTTTAAAAATCCACTAACTGCAATCTGTGGTGTATATCATGCTGTAATGTTGCTATGATTTTGCACCATTAAAATCACCCTATAAAGAAATGAAGATCACATAAGAGGGATGATAAGGTTCGTAATACAGTTACAGAGATCATGCGTGCTGCCAAAGATGAAGCTGCTCCTGCTGCAGAGATAAAAGAAGACTCCGAGATGGCACCCACTGAAGCAGATGTGACAGAGGAAGATGATGGTATTCACATGATTTTTGTTTCTTTCTTTTTTTTTTAAGTCACATTAATTAAGTTAAAAACAGACACTAAATTTATTGCTATCACATCACTAGCAAGACACACTGAAGAACCAGAACTGAGACCATCACTGAAGGAGGAGGAGGAAAAGCTTGATGATGACACCAAGGAGGAGGAAGAGGAAATTGGAGAGGGTGATGATGATGAAGTTCAAATAGAGGATAATGCAGAACAATTAATAAAAGAAAAAGAGAATAAAGAGGTGATAGAAGGAGGAGGTGATGGTAGAGGTGAAGACCAAGAAAAGAGAGACACAAAGACAGATGAATTTGCGATAATTGTAAACGATGAAGTGATACAGTTAGCAGAAGGGGTGGTAGAAGATGAAGAGGTGCAGGAGACCAAAACCAAAGACATTTTGGTAGAAGATGATGAGGAGAGCAAAACTGAAGAAACTATTGTGGATAAACATGAGAAAACAAAAACTGAAGACATTTTTGGCCAGGCCAGAACTGACGATGCTTCAGTAGAATATGAGGAGGTAGAAGAAGAGGCCAAAACTGAAGATTATTTGGTAGACCATGAGGAGGAAGAAGAGGAAGCCAAAACTGAAGATTATTTGGCAAAACATGAGGAGGAAGAAGAGGAAGCCAAGACTGAGGATTATTTAATAGAGCATGAGGAAGAAGAGGAAGCCAAAACTGAAGATGATTTGGTAGAGCATGAGGAGGAAGAAGAAGAAGACAAAACTGAGATGATTTGGTAGAACATGAGGAGGAAGAAGAAGAAGCCAAAACTGGAGATTATTTAATAGAGCATGAGGAGGAAGAGGAAGCCAAAACTGAAGATTATTTGGTAGAACATGAGGAAGAAGAAGAAGCCAAAACTGAAGATTATTTGGTAGACCATGAGGAGGAAGAAGAAGAAGCCAGAACTGGAGATTATTTAATAGAGCATGAGGAGGAGGAGGAAGAAGCCAAAACTGGAGATTATTTAATAGAGCATGAGGAGGAAGAAGAGGCCAAAACTGAGGATGATTTGGTAGAACATGAGGAGGAAGAAGAGGAAGAAGCCAAAACTGGAGATTATTTAATAGAGCATGAGGAGGAGGAAGAAGAAGCCAAAACTGGAGATTATTTAATAGAGCATGAGGAGGAAGAAGAGGCCAAAACTGAGGATGATTTGGTAGAACATGAGGAGGAGGAAGAACAAGAAGCCAAAACTGGAGATTATTTAATAGAGCATGAGGAGGAAGAAGCAGCCAAAACTGAGGATGATTTGGTTGAACATGAGGAGGAAGAAGAAGAAGCCAAAACTGGAGATGATTTGGTAGAACATGAGGAAGAAGAGGAAGCCAAAACTGGAGATTATTTAATAGAGCATGAGGAGGAACAAGACGCCAAAACTGAAGATGATTTGGTAGAACATGAGGAGGAAGAAGAAGAAGCCAAAACTGAAGATGATTTGGCAGAACATGAGGAAGAAGAGGAAGCCAAAACTGGAGATTATTTAATAGAGCACGAGGAAGAGGAAGAAGCCAAAACTGAAGATTATTTGGTAGAATATGAGGAAGAGGAAGAAGAAGCCAAAACTGAGAATGATTTGGTAGAACATGAGGAAGAGGAATCCAAGACTCGTGATATTTTGGCAGGATATGAAGAGGAAGATAGTGAGCTTCCCAGTATTTTGGTAGAAGCTGAGACGGAGGCAGAGGAAATTAAAACTGAATACATTTTTGAAGATCAAGAAGAGACTAAAATCAGAGACGAGGAAGAGGAGGAGAAAAATGAAGACGTAGTAGAATATGAGGATAGTGGGGAGAAGGGGCCAGAAGAACCTATTGTAATAGAACAGGAAGAGACCAACACTGAAGAGCCATCAATGACGCACCTTAAAATACTGTTATCTGAGAAAATCAGTAATGACAGTGCTGTACCTGAATCTGCTGATGGTGAGGAGGAAGAGAAAGAAACTTTTTTTCCTGTTTACGAGGAGGATAAATACTCCAACATCCTTGATGATCATGATGAAAATAACAACAACAGCGAAAGCAGAAAGACTGAACCTAAAAGAAAGAGGAAGGCCGATGTTACCCTTGAGAGATTTGGAGGACTCAAATTGTCTCACAAAGCAGAAGGCCACAACAAATATGAAAAAGGTACTAAACTCTTCCCCTCACATATTTGTCATCATGTTTTTCATTATGAGGCTATGAAAATACATAATGCATGTATTAAGTAATGTTGTGTTTTATGTGGAATGGCAGTGTTAATTTACATGCTCTTTGAATAGTTGGTAATGACAGGACTAAAGTTATTCAGACCTAACATGTAATGTACTGAATGATTCATTTAACTTTTTTTTTAATTTTTAATGTTTAATATTTTTTGTCACCGTTTTTCTTCTTTGGGCTAAAAATGTGTGAATGTTTTTTCTAACTTTTTGAAACATCAAGTATTGGAAGAGTATTTTATGCCACGTATTTTTCTTTTTATAATTGTCTTAGAAAATCACTATTAGTAGTATTACTAATGAAGATATGGTAATAATAGATATTTAAAAATACACCACAAACATACCCAATGTTACATACCATATATATTTTAAAAAAAAAAAGTATTTGGCACAAATTTGTAATTTGTCTGCAATTATTTGAAAAATACCCTGCCTGCAATTACATTTGTTCAACTTTATATTTAAGCTTGTAACAGATATTTAAGCCAATATAAGTAACATAATGAAGTAAATGCAGAATAAACACAAAGAATGTATGCTTAAATTCAAAGAGATTTTTAATAGTCATTGTCAATCTAACACAGATTCTCTCCTGTGAAATACAACTAAAAAAAATAATCTTCAAAGTCATCAACAGTGAATCACATTAAAGAAGTCTTTCTAGTATCTGCTGATAGGAAATAATACTGAACCCAGGCCTAAAGGTTAAAGTGCTAGCACAATACCATAACAATAAATGCCATTAAAATGAGACTTTAGCTTTAATAATAGTAATTTCTTATAGAATCTAACAATAGAAATATAAATAACAAAATGTAACACTTTAATGCTGTATTTCAAAAGGGTGCACAAAAGTCAATATTTAAAACACAAAAAGACAGCTGAAAACCCAGAGTGGTGAACATTATTCTCTCCAAAGCAGCAATTTGGCTTAGTCCTTTACACTCAGCCAGTTATTGAGGCAGACTATTTTGTTGACATCATCTGAAGACAAAGAAGCACTCCTCTTTTGAATGATGTGACCTGAGAGTGAGAATAATCTCTCACAAGGCACTGTGGTTGCAGGGGTTGACAGGTATTTGCATGCAATAGGTGCCAGCCTGGCATGTGCTCCTTCTCTCTTTAACCACCACTGTAGTGGACACTCCTCTATGTCTATTTTGGGCTCTGCTTTGTACCGATCCAGACAGCGATCTATAGAGTCTTCCTCTTCCTCTGAATCTGAATCTGAAGAACCCAGCAAGCAGATGGCGATCTTTCTCTTTTTTGGTGATGGTTCCTCTGTTGTCTGAGCAGATGGTTGATGTGCATGTGTCTCTGCCATCACAAGGTCATGTAATGAAGCCCACACCTCTCTTCTTTCATCTTTGGAAACACACTTAAGGTCTTTAAACCTGGGATCAAGGGCAGTAGCGATCTTCAGCCATGTCAGATTGATGCTGTCCCTCCGCTGAGCTAGGTCTGTGGTAAAAACCTTCTTAAACCTCAAAACGTAGACTGGGTCATCATCTGAGAGCTCCATAACCCTGAACAAATAACACAAGGCTGGCAACACCACGGAGCAGGAGACATACTGCTTCCCCCCCAGCAGTTCGGTCACATATCTGCAATAGAAAGAACAAAAGTTGTAAACAAGCCTATATTTTTATATTAATCACACAGAGACAAACTCACAGAGGTGGAGGGGGAGAACATACCTGAAGACGGAGCTAGAACACAGAACACAAAGGTAGACGCCCACACACACATGATAAACAAAATGATTTACCTGCAAGGTTCAAGTAGTTCCTCCAGCTTTTGCAGTATGTCAAACTCCTGGTCGGTCAACATAGTCACCATGCTGTTTTGCTGAGCCAGGATGGTGGTCAGCACAGATTTGTTTCTCTGGATGCGCTTGATCATCTCTAGGGTGGAGTTCCATCTTGTTGGAACGTCCCGAACAAGTGGTTCTGTTTTTTGTCCATGTGCAACTTGCTGTTCCTTTAATTCCTGAGTGTTCGCTGGACTCTGCTTAAAATGTCCAACAACCTTGCGACATTTGGCCAGAACCCTTTCAAATTCACTGTCGTTAAGAGAAACTGTGATCGTTCTTTGCAGAATGTGGGCCGTGCAGGGCATGTGCTCAAATGGAAGTAGTCTGGCGGCTGCAACCATGTTACGAGCACTGTCGGTGCCAAACGTGGTTAACTTGTCCTTAATTTTCCATTCATTTGCAACACTCAGAAAATGGTCAGCACACGCCTCAGCACACTGTCGCTCTTCAGTTTTACTCACTGTTAGTGCAAACGATTGTAGGGTCCAGTCGTTATCAATAAAATGCGCCGTGACGCCAGAGTAGTTATCGTTGTTCACCGAAGTCCAGCGATCTCCTGTGAGAGCGACATTCCTTACTTGCACAAGCTTGCTGGACCGCTGATCCCTCTGGTCCTCATACAAAGTGTGCAGTCTCGACACGATGGTTCCTCTCGAGGGAAGATTATAACGCACGTCTCCTGATGCAACGCGAATGACTTCTCTCAGTCCATCATCTTCTACTATGCTAACTGGTCGGCAGTTTTTAGCTATCCAAACAACCAAAGAATTGGTTAGCTTTTCACTCACATGTTTTGTTATCCGTCCACGAGCACCATAATCCTGAGGCGTAGATTGGCAAGATCCCGTAGAGGTGGATTCTGGGTGTTTTGCTCTCAGGTGATAGCACAGAGACGAATTGCTTCTGTGGTACCTGAATTCAGCTTTGCAAATTGTGCACGTTACTTTCGTTTTGTCCAACAAGCCGTTAGGCAACTTCTTAAAGTAAAACTTCCCCCCCAAAAGCCCGTCCTTATCCATTGTTGCGTGTTTGCTTATAATAGCATGGTAACACTTCTTCTTCGTTTAATTATTTCCGGCAGGCAAAACGCCAGAATAGCACAATGCTGCCCCCTCCTTCAGAGCTGCCGATGAGTTAAAAGGTCTTGTATTACAGGGGGGAAACTGCGTTATTTTTTTTAACGCGTTAAACATTTCACATTAATCTCAAAAAATTAACTCGTTAATTTTGACAGCACTAATATGTACAGGTAATCTTCTGTATATGAGCATATGTCCTAGAGTGGGTTTCATTAAGATCCCATAGAAGTATTTTGTGTGCCCAATCAATTTTCAGGCAGACACACAGTGATAAAGTTGTACATTTCCAAAACACCAGGCTGATTACTTTTAACAGTATGACGACGATATTGTGGCGTGTTTGTAATCATAGTTTTTTTTAACACTGTGATGCTTCTAGTGCTTTTGCAAGCATGATTATTTGTCATGTTAACTGTATTACAAGTCCAGAAATTAATTATTGTATGTTGAATATTTTTGAATATTTCTGTATGCTGTATTTCTGTATTTCTGATATACTTTAGTTCTGAAAGAAGCAAAGGAAAGACATGCAATAGAAGAAGTTAAAGATGGCATTATTAAAGGTACATTTTTTGAAACTGTGCATGTTTTTGATTTTTCTCAGCTTATTTTTTCTAATATTAAATTGTAAATATTTGTGCCAATTTGCCACGGGTAATCTTGTGAGGATGCATTGCTGCTTACAGATCTCAAAGCTGCAGCACCTGTGATGGAGAAGAAAAAAGATAAGGAAGCCAAAGAGTTTGAAACAGTAGAGATAAAACCAAAAGAAGTAAAACTAAAGGAGAAGCCCGAAGTTGACGCAAGACCTCTTAAACTGAAAGAAAAGAAGCCCAAAGGTAATAACGTTATATTTTGAAATTACAAAATACTGTTCAGAAGTATAAATAGACTTACAAAATATGAAAAATAAATACAAAATATATACAACCAGAACAAATGTATACCAGTAACTTCTCCACACAAAGGGCACATGATATCCTTTTATTCCCTACAGAATATATTAAACTGACACCTAAATTGTTGCTTTTAGAAGAAGAGCCAGTAAAGAAGCTGCTCAGAAAAGATGTAAAAGAACTGCCCAAAGAAAAGAAAAAAGATGGCAAACCTAAAGATGAGAGGGAAGTGAAAGAACCTCCCAAAGGAAAGGACGAGGCGAAAAAAACAATTCACGCAGAGGTCAAAGCAACAAAACCACCTAAGAAGGAAACAGATCTCAAGAAGATTTCCAAAGAAAGGAAGAGGGTAATGAAACCAGCAACAGAAGAGGAACAAGTCAAAAAACCTCCCAAAGAAGAAAAGGAAATCAAGAAAACACCTAAAAAAGAGAAAGAAGTAATTAAAGCTACCAGAGAAGTTAAAGAGGAAAAGGAACCAATAAGACGAATAAAGGAACTCAAGAAATCACCCAAAGAAGAGAAAAAGATCAGAATACTAGAAAAAATAGAGACAGGTGTAACCCAACCTCCTAAAGATGAAAAGAAACCACCTACAGTAAAGACAGAACTTAAGAAACTTCCTGAACAAGATAAAGACTTGAAGAAATCTCCCAAAGATGAGAAGGAGAGAAAACGTCTTAAAGAAGAGGAAAAATCTCCCAAACAAGAGAAAAAAGTTAAGAAACCTGTCAAAGAAGAGAAGAAAGAGGAGAAACCTCTTAAGGAAGAGAAACCTGAGAAGGAACATCTCAGAAAAGAGAAGGAAGAGAAGAAACCTCTTAAAGAAGAAAAGGAAGAGAAGAAACCTATCAAAAGGGAGAAGGAAGAGAAGAAACCTCTTAAGGAAGAGAAACCTGAGAAGGAACATCTCAGAAAAGAGAAGGAAGAGAAGAAACCTCTTAAGGAAGAAAAAGAAGAGAAGAAACCTCTCAAAAAAGAGAAGAAAGAGGACAAACCTCTCAAAAAGGAGGAGAAACCTCTCAAAGAAGAAAAGGAAGAGAAGAAAACTCTCAAAAAAGAGAAGGAAGAGAAGAGACCTCTTAAGGAAGAGAAACCTGTGAAGGAACATCTTAAAAAAGAGAAGGAAGAGAAGAAACCTCTTAAGGAAGAAAAGGAAGAGAAGAAACCTCTTAAGGAAGAGAAACATGAGAAGGAACATCTCAGAAAAGAGAAGGAAGAGAAGAAACCTCTTGAAGAAGAAAAGGAAGATAAGAAACCTCTCAAAAGGGAGAAGGAAGAGAAGAAACCTCTTAAAGAAGAGAAACCTGAGATAGAACATCTCAGAAAAGAGAAGGAAGAGAAGAAACCTCTTAAAGAAGAAAAGGAAGAGAAGAAACCTCTCAAAAAAGAGAAGGAAGAGAAGAAACCTCT